TTTAAGTGTCAGTATGTTTTTGTCATCGGTGCGAAAATGAGCTTTGAACAAAGAGCCAACATTAAATTTTGTTTTAAAATTGGTAAAACTTTTACCGAAACGTTTCAATTGATGAAACAAGTTTATGGCGATGATAACCTATCCCGTAGCAGAGTGTACGAGTGGTTTCAACGTTTTCAAAGTGGTCGTGAAGACATAAATGAGAAATGAGCAGAAACCCAAATAATCGCGCCTGGAGAAGTCTAAAGTGAAGACAATGCTGATTTGTTTTTATGATTCGAAGGGTATTGTCTACAAAGAATTTGTTCCACCCGGCCAAAACGTTAATGCGGTATTCTACCTTGGAGTTTTGAAGCGTTTGGTGCGCCGTATTCGACGTTGTGGCCGATTATTTGACCAAAAATCACATTTTAACAATCAATCACTCCCGCAATATTATAATATTGCGTAAATAACGCAACATATTAATATATTATGAGTCCTCCGTTGACACGCCTCTGTCCATGGTGGCATGTCCTGAAAGTAACGGCGAGATCGCGCGGAGATAGGGCGGAGCAAAAAATTGAGTTCTGACAAAACATTGAAAAAAACCAAATGACAACTTTACCGACAAACATACATACATACAGGCTCGCACACATATTAACGCCGAATTTTGCGCAGCGTTGCGGAGTTGACAAAATTTGTTTGAATCGACAATGTCGGACGGCTATGTTCTCACGTTTGTCGTTTTTGCAGTGGTTTGCTCTTGAAAGTTGACTTATGGTCTATTGAAATACTACGACTACCGATTGGGCTTGCATTTAGCGTCGTATTTAGATAAATGGGCAAAAATGGGAAAATCAATGAAATTATGATACTAAGTAAACATGCATTAGCACCATATTTAGTCTGCTAAGAACTATTACTAATTATATGAAATAAATTAAAATAATATTTCAAGTCGCTAATAGGCCATGTTGCCAATTCTCCTTTCTGAAGGGAACATCAGACAAATTCATCAATTTCTGATTTTTAGCATCGTCGTGAGGATGCAGCTTGTGGGCAACTTATGAAATGTTGATCATTCTTCAATTTGACTGAAGATATTCAAATTCAATTTCATTCATTTTTATTTAAACTTTGTTTTCGTGTTTTTGTGGTATGAATTTCATACAAAAACCACATTTGGTTGACCAGGCGCACAGAAAAAAGAGCGCAGTGCAGAGTTATAAACGATCACTTCGTTTTGTAGCATACGCGCGTTCCTTATGAATAAATTTTTTGACGCTGTAATATGACATATTTAGAAAATATAGCGCGAGCTTGCTCGAATCTTATTGGTCTATGATGGTGCGTCTGCGATTTTTTTTGTAGCTTGCGCGAATGTTTGATTTTTTTAAAAAAGGCATATTGAATGTGTACATATATGCAAATATATTTAGGCATGTGAATGGAGGAAAGGCAATTTCGGGAATACTTACATACAAATTGATTATTTGAAACAAGTAAAAATTCATAATGTTCGCACATTAGACTAACACTTTTGTATTGTGTTTATGGTGGTGCTTCACATCAAATATTTGCCTGAGTTCCCATCCTGGCACAGGTGTAGTTTTATTCCTTTTTTAATTTTTATAAACCTGTTTTGTTAAATTTATTTTAATATAATATTCTTTTTTTCTCATTAAATAAATGTTCTTCAAAATCTATTATTTTTTTTCTGGTATTCTAATTTGCTTTAATACGCATGCCAAAGAACATCTGCGCATACGGTATATTAGCTGTTCCTTTATAAGGTGGTGAAAATTTATTTGCTTCCTGCTTAGAGTGGTGTAGTTTTCTGAAATCGAGTATCATTAGGGAAAGTAATTGAACTTTCGAATTTGCGCATTTTTGATGTTCCCTTTTAATAGTTTACATTTTATTGTAGCTAACATTTGCGCCTTCTCTATTTATTAACATTCTCTGGATGAACATCTCCATTAAATATATTTTTTTATTATTAAGTAATCTTTATTTCGACTCTTTATATCAAAAAATGTGGTTAGCAATAAGTAGCAAAATGATTTCCGTTGGATGCAAATTGTGGTTACATTTTCAAATTTAGTTAGGCAGCTGCGGTTGTAGTAAACTATTTTTATACTCTCGCAACCTGTTGCTACAGCGTATAATAGTTTTGTTCACTTAAAGGTTTTTTGTATCACCTAAAACTAATCGAATTAAATATAGGGTTATTTATATATGTATATATAAATGATCAGAATGAAGAGACGAGTAGAAATCCGGGTGACTGTCTGTAATATCTTTATGAAACTTGGTACAAATGTTTCTTGGTACCGCAAGACGGTTGATATTGTAGATGGATGTAATCGAACCACTGCTACGTCCACAAAACGCCATTACTCAAAAACAAATAAATTGCTATACATAAGCTCCACAATAATATGCAAGACAGTTTCTTGGTATACAGGATTACTTTAGGGACGGACATATGCAGTTTTAAATTTTTTTAAAAAGTGGGCGTGGTCCTGCCCCTAATAGATTTAATATGCATATCTCCTAAATCGCTATCCTTTTAACCAAATTCGGTACATAATATTCCCCTCATATTTTTATACTCTCGCAACCTGTTGCTACAGAGTATAATAGTTTTGTTCACCTAACGGTTGTTTGTATCACCTAAAACTAATCGAGTTAGATATAGGGTTATATATATATAAATGATCAGGATGAAGAGACGAGTTAAAATCCGGGTGACTGTCTGTCCGTCCGTCCGTCCGTCCGTCCGTGCAAGCTCTAACTTGAGTAAAAATTGAGATATCTTTATGAAACTTGGTAGACATGTTTCTTGGTACCGTGAGACGGTTGGTATTGCAGATGGGCGTAATCGGACCACTGCCACGCCCACAAAACGCTATTAATCAAAAACAGATAAATTGCCATAACTTAGCTCCGCAATAAGATACAAGACTGCTATTTGGTACACAGGATCACATTACGGAGGGGCATCTGCAGTTAAAACTTTTTTTTAAAAAGTGGGCGTGGTCCCGCCTCTAATAGGTTAAATGTGCATATCTCCTAAACCGCTAATGCTAATAACAAAATTCACTAGAAGCAAATGTTTTTAGCACTTCTATTGACGGTGTGAAAATAGTTGAAATCGGGTGGCAACTCCGCCCACTCCCCATATAACGGTACTGTTAAAAACTACTAAAAGCGCGATAAATCAAGCACTAAACACGCCAGAGACATTAAATCTTATATCTGAGATGGTATAAATTGGCTTTATAGGAACCGCGTTCAAAATTAGTCAGTGGGCGTGGTACAGCCCACTTTTAGGTGAAAACCCATATCTTGAGATCTGCTCAACCGATTTCAACCAAATTCGGTGCATGACGTTCTTTTTATGTTTCTATATCATAGTGCGAAAATGGGCGAAATCGGACTACAATCACGCTTACTTCCCATGTAACACCATTTTCAATTCCATCTGATTCTTTCACTTTCCACTATGCAAATCAGGTAACAATGATTATATCGGGGTAAAACTTTGCGTGAATAATGCAATTAAATTATGCCACCTTGCGGCCAAAAATTGTCTAAATCGAACCAAAACTGTTCAAACCCCTAAGTACTAAATATGTGGACCCCAGTGCCTATAGTTGACCTTCTACCGAAAATATCAGTCAATCCACAAAGAAATCTCAAACGAGTATATCATTTGACTTTGCGAGAGTATAAAATGTTCGGTAACATCCGAACTTAGCCCTTCCTTACTTGTTTATTTTAAATTCCATCTGATTCTTTCACTTTCCACTATGCAAATCAAACAACAATGATTGTATCGGGGTAAAACTTTGCCCGAATAATGCGTTTAAAGTATGTACTGTTCAAACCCCTAGGTACTGAATATGTGGATAATTAAAATTCATATAATAAAATAAATAAATGAAACTCATGGTGATAGTATGTCTTTGTGTCAAAAATGGGTTGAATCGGATCAATACTTCCTTCAATAGAAAATTTTGCCAACACATGAACTAATTTAACGGGCTTTGATCCTTGCAAGTTGCGAGAGTATAAAATGTTCGGTTACACCCGAACTTAGAACTTCCTTTCTTGTTTTAATATAAAGTTTTGTCAACATCTGAAAGTATTTCACTGCCTTGAGCTTCAGAAATTGCATGAATATAAAATGTTCACTTACACCCGAACTTAGCGCTTTCTTGCTTATGTATTATAAAATTTTGCAGGCACCTCTTTCCCTTCCCTACAAGAACAGTGACGGTCATCTGATGGGTCATATGACAGTCACAGCTGAAAAAATTTTGTCAGCGCGCAGAGCAAGGATTCTATCATTGTGTTAAGAGCCCTGTGCAAAAACTGATGTAAACAAACGTATGTGTGTGAGTTTGCATCTCTCTTTAACACATGGGTATTCGGAATTCATTCACTATATGTCTGTACTGCTCACTCTCATGTCTTTTTCTGAGTCATTGCTGACCATAAATCCGTCATAGCTGAAAATCGTCAGTTATGACTGAAAAGCTATCATTAATGACAAATTTTGTTTTTGTTCAAAATAGTTTTATTTTTATTCATTTTTAAACTTATAAAATTAAGAATTTTACAAAAAATTTAATAAAAATAATATAATTTTTAAAATAAGTTTCATTAGAATTTAATAACATTTCATCCTCTCTAGGTAATGTTTTTAAATGTTCAAATATACATATATACAGAATAGTGAACAATTATAATAATTTATATTTAAATATTTACATAAATAACTCGTTTCTTATAATTTAAATATTTACATGATTAACTTAAAAATCAATATAATTCATTTCTTAACTCTAAATATTTACATTATTAATTGAATTAATATAATTAATTTTTTAATATTTAAATATTTACATAATTAAATAAAAAAAATATAATTCATATTTAGAAATTAAATTGCAAAACTAAAAAATTGTTATAAAATAAAATTAAATTATTAAAAAATTATATACATATTAATTTTTTCGTCTCCTTTCCATATATTTCTTCTGCTTGATTCGGTGATGGCTCCGTTCAATGGCTCTCCGTATGCTCTTTTCAAAGTCAAAGGCACCTTGTGACTGGAAAACTACTAAAAAATTAAAATTAATTAAAAACAGTTGTCTTAAGCTCTTACACTCATCTTATTTACCTCGTAAAATGGTTTCAATGAGCCTTAGTTCGCCTAGGGCATGTTTTTCGCCTCTTCCATCCCAATTAAAGGACTCGAGGAGACAGTCTGTAAAAATATTTCTAAAAACGTTTTCGATGTCATCGGATGCACCCTTCAGTTTGTAGATATACGTGGTCTGTAAAATAAGAATATATAGATGTAATTAGTAATTAATTTTTAATGTAATTATAAAGAACGTGTTTACCATAGCCTGTGTGAATTCGGGTTTTTTTAGTTTTTCTTCCACCTCCAGACATAGCTCAACCGATTCAATTGGTAAAAGGCTTGCTACCTCATCAATAGTGTCATCTCTTGCCTCTCCGGTCATGAGACATACCGATCGCTCAATTTTTTTAATATGCACCTTGCATTCCCTAATCAGGGAGCTTTGTGCTAGTACTTCCGATTTATCTGTTGCCTTTTAAAATAGAAAAACACTTTATAATTTAATTATATATAAAAATTCTTACTTCTTGTTCAATTGTTTCCAATTTACCAGTAATAAGTGCTTGATTGGCAGTTATCGTCACATATCCATTTTCCAACGAGCCAATTTTATCGAATAATACTTGTTGCTATAGATTTTAGAAAAAAAATAAATGCGTATGCAATAATACATAAAATTTTATTTAGCATAACCATCATTTCTGAAATGAATTAAATAACTTAATTATATTCAAGTTAAAAATTAAAAAATTAAATTTAATATTTATTTTATAATTACCGTTGTTTTGTCCTGGGGGTGGCACATTCTTCTTACATTTCAAAGGCGTTGATGTTGTTGCTATTGTTGTTTTATATATTTTTTTTGGTATCATTGATTGATAATCTGAAATAGATATGTAATATTATTGATTGTATACGAGTATCTCATATTTTTGTTTTGCTTACCAATTTGCTCTTGGCTCTCAAATATGGAATCGCCAAACATATTGCTTGCATTGAAGCTCGTGAAGATACAAATTTTATTAAATTTATGTGTTTTATTTCGTTGAAACAGAATGTGCGGGTTGTTGCGAAAAATCGTGAAAGAGATGATGCAAAAAAGGAATGAGGAGAAACTTGTCGCCATGAGGGATGCAGAAATACTTATGATCTATATCTTCTATTGATATTTCACTAACATCATTACTTAAATTACTAGCCAAAACAATTCCCAGACTGTTGGCAGACTCAAAAGGTGTCTCAAAAAAGTTCTCTATTTTCTTAAAAGCGTTACATATATATTTATTCGCTTTGTCTGATGTGTTAGTGCTTATATCTTTCATGGGTCCAATTGTTTTACTAAAACAAAAATAATCCTTTTCTTTATTGGGATTAATTTCAAATGTTCCTATTTTCGATGCCATATTGAAATCGTCGCAAAATGTATGCCTTTCATTGAGATGTAAGAATATTTGTTGCAATATTTTGTTTGGTTTATTAACAATTTTCTTAAGAAACTGCATATAATTTTCATACTTATATGCTGAAAAGGAATCTAATGGACCAAACTGTTTGACACATTCCGACAAATGGAGCAGACCATGTATATTAAAGCTAACCAACTCATCTCCATATGTGCTCCCAAAATAATTTACAAAATCATTTAAAACTTCTTGAGCTGTATCTGCCTCAACTCTATAGGACCTTTCACATGAAAGAAGTCTTATGGCACTATGTAACAGCAAAAAATGATAGTATAAATCGCTATTAATACAATCTGTTAAAAGATACATTCCAGTGTATAATAAAAATTGCCTAAACTCAGTAGATTTCCAATGATTTATTTCATCTAAGCTTCTAACTATACAACCAAATTCTGAGGGAAATTGAGCAATATAATTAATTTTTTTATTAATCTTTTTTACATCACTTTTTTTAACTAGTAACTTTAGTAGTTTTTTAGTGACTCCCAGATCAACTAAATTCATAGAGTCTAAAGTAAATTGTGAAACCATTCCGAACCCGGAGTCCTCCATAATGCTTTTTTTTGTTTTAAAATCATCGAGATGATGAGATGGACTAGTTCTTAGCGCGTAAGTTAAATCTGTCCTAGGTAAACCAACCTGCTTTGAGAAACATACTCTTCTGTATTTGTATGTTCCTTCCTGACAACATTTAGGGCAACCATGTTTACCATTATGTGAAATAACACTTGTAACAAAAGCCCTAGCAGGAGTATCACATGAAAATAAGCGAACATTAAATTTTTTTCAACTTTGGTTTTGACCAACTTTTATTGCGTTTTCCTTTAAAAGCCTTACTTCCCCACAAAAATTTGCCGTAAAAGAATTGATATTATCCGGTTTTTTAAAACCAGAAAAACAAGCAATCAAAAATGGTGTCACATTTGGTTAGTTTGAAATAGCCCCAAGTATGGGCCACAAAACTCGGTTAGAACTTTTAAAAAGTTTTAAGCCATCAATACCTATATCAAGCAATATTTCTTCCAAATTTTAAAAAAGGTTTGCGGTGTTATAAAGAAAATATTTTTGTATACCTATATAAAGGAATTCGCCATTAGACATAGTCTCAACGTTAACCGTTTACCTGTTTGTATTTAAAAGAGTTTTTGCTGAAAGTGGTAAATCTTTAACTCCTATCTTACGCAAAGTTTTTAATAAATCCTCTAAAGTATTTTGAGGGACATTATTTCTAATAGCCCATAACCTAATTTCACTCGCTTTCATCTCAGATTTTACTTTGTTATCTGAACACCAAATATCTCGTAAGGATGATGAAGCTGAAATCCCAACTGCTTCTTTTGTTGGTGAGAAGGCCGAAAAAAAAGCATCATCCGTAAGTTTACAATTCACCATTGCAACACCATCATTCTCTTCACAATTTTTCGTAACACTTTTAATTTTCTTTTTAAGTTCACTGTTCTGCACTGCTCTGTTCAACTTTCTCGTACATTCTTAAAAGTTTTTATATTTTGGATTCGAAAATCCTTTTTTCTTTATTTAAATAGTTTTGAAATGTCCTTTTTTCATTTTAACTTATCTTAAATTATTAAATAAATTATATATTTTATTAATTTTCACGAAATATAATTTCACTCAAAATTAACGCGCAACACTTTTCGTTCGTGGCAAGAATAACAGTAAAAATTGTTTTGCGCAGTTGTTGATAAACACATGGAATTTCATGCGTCCCTTATTGACAGGGTTGCTTTTACACAAAGAGATAATTGTTGAAAAATGATGATTAGTGTTGATAAGCGTTTTTTTTTTGACAATTGTCAGCACTGACAGTCATTTTACTATTCATTTGTCTGTCAGTGGTGACAGTACTAAAGCATTCAGCTATTTCATTCCTACACATGTAAGCAATATAATTCGAAGATGTTTCTGTTTAACAATAACGGTGACGGTCAGTTGATAAGTAAACTGTCGGTCAGTACTAACATATTAAATGTAAGTGTATTGGTGAACCCATCAGCAGTTTCTTGTAGGGTTTATATTGTTTCAAATTGTGAGAGTATATGATATTCGGCTGAATCCGAATCAGTCCTTTCTCACTTGTTTTAAATTATTTCATACTTTACATAGTATGTACATACAAGTATATGTATTAGGGTGGGCCAAAAATCCGTTTTTTTTAGAATTTTCATTATTATTACCGAAAATATTTTTCTTTGTTAAAAAAAATATTTTCAAGAATAAAAAATATTTTTTTCTTACCTTATATCGGTCGGAAATTTAATTCTCTACAAAAAAGATCGTATAGTAAAGTTACGTAAAGTTGATAGCTTCTGAGATAATTGCGATTTTCCTTTAAAAAATGAGATTTTTCAATATGGTATTAATTTTTCTAGATGAAAAATGTATCTAATCTTATTATTTTCATAGGAAATTCTATTCTCTACTGCATAAATGTAAAAACAATTTTTCTAGAGTTGATTGTTACTGAAATAACGACCATTTCGCTATAAGGTAAGAAAAAATTTTTCCAAAAACTTTTAACTTGAACTGGATTTGGCAAGCCTAAGATGTCGACCGAAAAATTTTTTTTTCTTGAAAATTATTTTTTTTAACTAAGAAAAATATTTTCGGTATTAATAATGAAAATTCTAAAAAAAACGGATTTTCGGCCCACCCTAATATGTATGTGATTCGCTAAGACTACAATTAAGCTACATACTACAACCGGTCAGCAGCACTTAAGAAAATAAATTCATCAGCAATTTTGTGCCGCGTATATTTTGAGTTGAAGATTTGCTTTCATATGTATGAGTATGTATTCATAAGTATATATTGGTATCCGTAATCAAGTTCACGTCTAGGCATGTAGAGGGATGGTAAGAACATTTTCCCGGTCAATATATGTGCATACATGTAAATATATATACTTGTATATATATAAAAAGATACGAATGGTTACTCAAAGAATGTTCTTTATTGAATATTTCAGCACACGACTTTCGGCTGGTTGCCCAACCTTTCCTGAATCCACAAATTCTATAGTTGCCGTCTGCGTGCAGCTTTTACATTTAACGTCACTGTCCAGTCAGATTGTGAAACACGCACATAGTCATATTTTACTGTATACATACATACTTTTTTAATGTTTCTGGTTTTTCTTAAAACAAAGTAAATCAGAAATAAAAACTTTTTTGTAAATGTTATTAGATTATATATTAACTTTATTAAAACAAAATAATTGTTATGCTGTTTTTTTTAAGTTTAAGATTAATGTTAATACTGCAAAAAACGGTATCACAATGCTATGTCTGCTAATTATTATTTTAACGCTCGCGATTACTTTGTCCTATACTTACAATACAATAGTATTTCTATATTTATGTTTATAATTGTATATTTTTTTTAAATATATAATATGTAGTTAGATTACATTATTATTCTTACATATATGAACCACTAGTCTTTTATAAACCTGTTTTAAATTTTACTTCAGGGATTGATTAATCTTAAAGCTCTGAGGCATAAATATACAAATGTGAACAATCCTTAGTATGTATAAATAGGTAAACATACAAGCGTATATTTATTACACTATACAACACTGGGTATTGGCCAAATCTATTTTTTTTCGGAGAATAAGTCATAAGTAAAAAAGTAATTTTTAACGACTAACGAATTTAGCTTCAAAAATGTGCCTTCGAAATTCGAAATTTAGCTCACTTCAAGCATCACTATTAATTACAGTATGTATGTTACTAAAAAAGTAAAAAAAATTTACATGACCTATCCTTTCCTCTAATTTCAATATTATATTATATTTCGGTGAAGCTCACATGAGAGCAATCTTCGAAAAAAATCCATATTCATAATCGATACCATATTTATTATCATCATTGACCCAATCTTAAATATCTTTTGCGATTTTTAGCCACCCACATATATCTGCTATCTGCGTTAAATTTTTTTCTCTTCGTAGTGTGCCTCCATTGAAATCGCAATTTGGCGAAAATGTTTTCCTGCTCATCAGATTCGTTTGAAAGTTGTCTTTCTAAACAATCAAGATCATCATGCATTACATGAACTTTCGATTTCGAAAGGCTTCACCGAATCAGCTGATACGACCTATCTTATGAGAGCGCAATGTAAATGAACAGTCACCCCCGCTTCTACCGTCCGCTTCAACAGACCGTACGGTAGGATAT